GTCATGGACTTTAGACAGTTTGACTGTAATATGCCATGGAGAAGACCTTTTAGCATTTTGTATCTTTTTTGGAGATCGCTGGGCCTCCTGTATCTGTATGTCTAAATCTCTTGCTATACTTAGGAAGTTTTCGTCTGTCATTTCATTAAGTAGTTTTCAAACCCTTTTTGTTCTCTTGGGCTTTGAGGATACTGTTGATTTGTATATTTGGTTACTTTATGGTGCTCCATATATTATGGAGGTTTTGTTCATTCTTTTTTATTCTTTTTTTTTTTTTGTCTGACAGGTTTATTTCAAAAGGCCTACCTTCAATTTCTGAGATTATTTCTTCTGCTTAATATATAGTTTTTGGTGATGCTTTCAAGTGTATTTTCTATTTTATTCAGGGAGTTCCTCTGTTCAAGAATTTGTATTTGTCATTTTTTAAAATGGTATCTCTTTAGCAGATTTCTCATTTATATTCTGAAATGTTTTTTGAATTATTTAATTGTATTTCAGAATTGTCTTGCATCTTAGTGAGCTGCTTTTGTATCATAATTTTGGTTTCTTTTTTCTGGATATTGTAAATTTCTTTTTGAGTTGGATCTGTTGCTCAGTCTCTGATTGCCAGGTGGAACACAGAGTCTTATATGGGCTCAATTCATGGCTCCCCAAAACAATTACAATAGTAATATCAAAGATCATTGATCACAGATCATCACAACAGAATCAATAATGGTAAAAAAGTTTGAAACCTTGCAAGAATTACTAAAATGTGACACAGAGGCTCAAAGTGAGCACATGCAATTGTGAAAAATGACTCTGATAGACTTGTTCAACATGGTGTGGCCACAGACCTTTAATTGTAAAAAAAAATACACTGTCTTTGAAGCTCAATAAAGTGAAATGCAATAAAACTGGATATGCCTGTATATGTTGTAAGAGAAGAGTTTTATTCTTTTGTATGTGAATATCCAGTTTTGTTAACATCATTTGTTGAAGAGATTGTCCTTTATTGAATGATCATGGCACCTTTGTAGAAAATCATTTGGCCATATATATGAGTGCTTACTTCTGTGCTCTCTGAACACATTAGTCTCTCTAGCTACTTTTATGCCAGTACCATTGTTTTGATTAAATATAGCTTTTTTATGTTATGATATGGGGAAATGTGAGATCTTCAACTTTACTGTTGTCCTTCCAAATTGTTTGACTATTTAGTTACTCTTGAGATTCCATATAAATTTTAGGATGGCTTTTTCTATTTCTGCAAAAATTATATTGTTATTTTGATAGGATTTACATTGAATCTATAGATAACTATGGGTAGTACTGACATCTTAACAGTATTAAGTCTACTATTTCGGTAACACGGGATGTCTTTTCATTTATTTGTGTCATCTTTAATTTCTTTTCCCAGTGTTTTGTAATTTTCAGCATATAAGTCTTTGGCCTCTTTGATGAACTTTTTTCTTTTCAATGCTATTTTAAGTGATATTGTTTTCCTAGTTTTCTTTTTGTATTGTTCATTTTTTGTTTATAGGAACATAGCTGGTTTTTGTGTTTTGATTTTGTATCCTGCAACTTTGATGTTTTCATTTATTCTGTCTATTTTATTGGACTCATTATTAGGGTTTTTACATGTAAGATTATGTCATCTGTGAGTAAAGTTAATTTTACTCTGTTCCAGTTTGGATACCTTTCAGTTGTTTTTCAAGCCTTCTTGCTCTGGCTTTCTGGGATAGTTTTTGAAGCCAACTTTTAAGGTTTCTTCTTACCCAAGAGTGCTGCTCTACTAGCTATGTTTTCCCCTATGTCTGTTTTGATTTTTTTGAAGTTCACCTGGCTAATTTTTATTATACTCTATTGTTTACTTTCCTTCTTAGTATTACAATAAATGAAGTTCTACTATTTATTCTTGATTCTATTCTAGTAATTTAGGTCTATCATGAAAATTTTTCTAGGATTTTAAGCATATTGGGAAACTTGTTGTAGTAGTTTCTAATGACTTAAAAATATCTATTGTAGCCATCTGGAGCAGACATTTAGATTTTTATTCTCAAACCTGTCTATTTTCTAATCTGCCTTATCATAGTAAATAAAACCACCATTCACCTCTTTGCTCAGGCATATTCCTGGGAAAGATCTTTGCTTTCTATCTTTGTCTTGCCTACCCCACAGACAAATGATCAATAAATCTTGTCATTTCTGTCTTCAGAATATGTCTTGAATCTGATTCTTCACCCCTCTTTTATTACTTGTCAAGCCACCATCAGCTTTGGTTGGATTAAAAATTGGTTCCGGCCAGGCTCAGTGGCTCAACCTGTAATCCCAGCACTTTGGGAGGCTGAGGCGAGTAGATTGCCTGAGCCTGCAGGTTCGAGACCCACCCGGGCAACTTGGAGAGACCTCGTCTCTACAATAAATCAAAAATTAGCTGGGGGTGGTAGCGCGCACCTGTAGTTCTGGCTACTTGGATGGCTGACATGGAAGGATCGCCAGAGCCCAGCAGGTGGAGGCTGCGGTGGCCAGGAGCGGCCACTGCACTCCAGCCTGGGCGATGGAGTGAGACTCCCACACAAAAAATAAAAAATAAAAAAAAATAATGGTCCCTCTGTTTCTACTCTTGATGCCAACTGTTTTTTTTAGTAATACAGCTGCCTGATTGTTCCATTTTAATTTCATGATATCTCTTTTGGTATGTTAAATATATTTATTTATAGTTCTTTTGAAATGGTTCCAGTATTTGCATTTTGCTAGGTAGTGCTTATTTTCTACTGTTCACTTTGTTGACTCTCCTTTTGCAGCTTAGCAAAGGGTTAGGCATGAATGGGAATATTTTAATACCCTCTGTTTCCACCCTAGTGTTCATGTCCTTTTTAATAAATTTTGAGGTTCCTAGGAATCATCTAGCGCTCCAATAGCTCTTTTTTTTGAGTCTAGGGGCTCTTGTTCCTCTCTGGTAATTTGACCTAAGTCGGGTTGAATCTTGAAATGAGCAGATTTTCCCAGACACTCTCTTTGGTGCTTTAAACATTTTCTTCTATGTCAGTAGGCCACAATCACAAACTTTCTGTGTCTTTTTAAGAGTATGAGACACCTCCTAGAGTTCCCAGTTTCATTTTCAGATTTTGGATTCTTTATCTTAACAGTGCATTTAGTCTTAACTACCTCTGAATATAATGGGGCATAGAGATATAAAGGTATTTACTTAGCTCTCACTTATTACTTTGTTCTCCAGGCCCATTGGCATAGTTGTTTTGAGTATTTTAAGTTTTTAAAAAGGTCTTCTTTCTCTTCCTCCCTCCCTTCCTCCTTCTCTCTGTTCCCTTCTTCCCTCTCTGTCTCTCCTTCCTCCATTTATTTGTCTATCAATGTATCTACCTATCATTGCTTTTGTGTGAATAAATGGGAATTTTTTTTTCTCCATTTTTTTATTATAAAGATGTGGGGTACAGTTCAGGGTTAAATATACAAATGCTGATTATGGAGGTACCCTTGTTGATGAGGTATGCCCCTCCTGCCCTAGCAGTTTCCCTCAACTGCCAATCCAACTCCCCTCCCCTTACAGTTTCCCACTATTGCCAATCCCTTTCTTATAGTATATTTCTAATGTTTTACCTCTAAAACCTGCTGTTCATGTTTAGAAAAAATGAATGTATAATGATTATATGGGCAGACTCTATGATCATTCTCTAAATCATTTTTTATTTAAAAAAAATTTTTAAAATTTGATGTAGGCCGGGTGCAGTGGCTGAAGCCTGTAATCCCAACACTTTGGGAGACAGAGCCAAGAGGATTTATTTAATTAAATAAAATTAAATAATACACAAAGATAATTAAAATTAGTTTAGTAATATATTCTTTAAAATATACATCAAATTTTATTGTTTATTTATTTATTTATTTAGAGCTGGAGTCTCACTCCTTTGCCCAGGCATGCTCATGTTCTTTGTTTCTGTGATAGATCACTCAGTATTATAGACTCCATCCAAGTTAGCAACATACTTTAACAGTATTAATTAATCGTGGTGCTGTTGTCATGAAACAGGTGTCCTCAACATTGTAGGTTGAAAAACAAGTAAGTATAAGGTCTTTGGAAAGCAGTAAACCAATAAAAATCAAGAATATTGGAAAGTTTATTTCCTTTGATCTGGAATTCCTTTTTTTTTAGAATACTAATTTTGTTTGTTTATTTATTTATTTATTTAGAGTTGGCATCTCACTCTGTCACCCAGGCACGCTCGTGGCCACCACAGCATTGACCTGGTGGGCTCAGGCATTCCTTTCACCTCAGCTTTCCAAATAGTCTGACCTACTGGCACGTGCTACCATGCCTGGCTAATTTTTTTATTTATTGTAGAGAGGAGGTCTCACCAAATTGCGTAGGCTGGTCTCAAACCCGCAGACTCAGGCAATCCTCTTGCCTCAGTCTCCCAAAGTGTTGGGATTACGGGCTTGAGCCACTGTGTCCTGCCTCCCTCGAATTTTAAAGTTGTTCTTAAGATAAAGATTTAGAGAATGATCGGGGGAAAGAGGACAGCTTTGTTTCAGTCAAGATAATGATTGACTCTCAAGCATTAGAAAACTGTTTTGGTTTTTTTCAGTACTATTCTTTTTTCTCTGAGTTTATTCTGCACTTAATAGAGAAACAGTGAAATAAACATATCCACCATTTGCTCTGATTAATATTTAAGTAATTGAACTCTCTAATGAATATCTATTGTCCAATAATTTCTTTATAATAATTTTAATAACTAAATTTGTGTACAGATGTTCAAGTTTACTTGTTGCATATTCTTAACTTTCAGACCAAGAAACCATTATATGTTTTTTATTTCTGAAAAAAAAAATGACTGGTGTTAGAGTTTATTGTGCATGTTAAAAATTTTCTAATTAAGTGAAAAAAATTAAAAGTGTGATTTTTTTTCTTTGTCATTTAGTAGAATAATTAAATATAATAGATTTTTTGTATTTCTTATTTATTACATTTTTTGATTATGATAATGCTCTAATTTCAGGCATTTGAAGACAATTTAATTGAAGCAAGGAAAGAAATTGAAGAATCACAAAGTAAATATAATGCTCTATCATTACAGTTTAATGATAAACAGACTGAACTTATCCAGAAGGATATGGATATTACCCTGGTCAGGCAAGTATATCCAATTTTTAATTTAACCTTATAGAAATGTCACTGGTCACTCAGAATAACAACATTTATGTTTATTTTTAACATGCCAAGATAGCAGCAATAGGGTTTTTTTTTTTTTTGAGTATTACATTGGTGCATTGAAAATCTGGAATCATAACACTAAATTGGAAACAGTTAGGGGGAAGAATCTACAGGATTAGAAGAGCATGTTCAAGGAATACCCTTATTTCCATCTTTAACAAGGTTCATTGTATTCATTTGCTGTTTTCTCCTGAAATTTCTAGCCATGTGTTTTATGGTATTCATATTGTTGTAATAAGCAATAATAACTGAAACACAATTTTAACTTTTAATTGTATGTTTTATAATGTTTTAGCTTGTGAAATATTCTTACTATATCAATGTAATTGATTTTATAATACTATCCATAAAGTAGGATTATTTGAAAAAGTAAGCATAGTACACTTGTGTTTCTAAGTGTTTTGAAATATGTTAAAACTGACTATTAATGTACTTCATAATTACCTTTTTCTCAAAAGAGGATTAAAAAGAATAAATTAAGATGGGACTTTTGCTTGGTTCACAGTTTAATATATATTAACATATATATATATATAAATATATGCATGTTGCACATGTATGTGTGCATATTTATGTATGTATGTATTTATTTTGGTAGCACCAGAACATGAAATTTAAGGTGTGCTTATAGAGGTGTATATATACATTTATTACACATATATACATATTTGCACATGTATGTGTATATGTATACATATATGTATTTATTTTGGCATCACCAGAGCATGAAATGGAATGTATGCTTGTAGAGGTATAGAATGTGTATTCTGTGGTTGTTGGGTGGAATAATCTGGAGGTATCTGTTAAGTCCATTTGGTTGAGTATCATGTTTAAGTTTTGGGTCTCCTTGTTGATTTTTTGCCTTGATGATCTACCTAGGACTATTAGTGGGGTATTCAAGTCCCCTGCTATAATAGTGTTAGAGTCTATATCTTTTTTTAGTTTACTTAGTAGTTGTTTTATGAATGCTGCTGCTCCTGTGTTGGGTGCATATATGTTTAGGATGGATATTTCTTGTTGATGAATTGAAACTGTTATCATTATGTAGTATCCTTTTGTGTCTTTTTAATTTTTATACCTTAAAGGTTGTTTTGTCTGATATTAAGATCATGAATCCTGCCTTCTTTTGTAATCCTTTTGCCTGTAAACTCATTTTCCATCCTTTAACTTTGAGTCTCTGTGTGTCCCTTGTGGTGAGATGAGTTTCTTGGATGCAGTAAATAATTGGATCATGATTTTTTATCATTTTATCATGATCCAATTATTATTATTGCCATTCTGAGTCTTTTCAGTGTTGCATTTAGTCCATTCACATTCAGGCTGATTATGGAAATGTGACTGTTTATCCCTGTCATGAGGTTCTTATGAAGTTTTTTCTTGGCTTGTTTTCTTTTGACTTTGGGGTTGATGTATGTATGTATTTTCATGTGCTGTATTTTCTGTTGATTCTGTGCTCTGCTGTTCTCTTGGGAAGTGTGTGGTCATTCTTTTTTTTTCTTTTGCCTGTGCTTAATACCTTTTTCAGTGTCTCCTGTAGAACTGGTCTGGAAGTTGCATAATCTCTTAGGAATACACATTCTACTCATCATCACATGGAACATACTCCAAGATCGATCACACCCTTGGCTATAAATCAAGCATAAACAAATTCCATAAGGTTGAAATCTTGCCATGCACCTTTTTAGTTCACAGTGGAATAAAAATAAATATCAACAAGAACAAAATTTCCCCAAAGCCCACAAAGACATTGACACTAAACAGCATGATGCTGAACAGCTACTGGTTCAACACTGAAATCAAAGCAGAAATTAAAAGATTCCTGAAAACAAAGGAAAATGAAGAAACATCTTACCAAAACCTCTGGATGCCATGAAAGCAGTTCTAGAGGGGAATTTATATCTCTACAAATACACATCAAGAAAATCGAAAGATCACAAGTGGATAGCCTAACAAATCACCTGAGGGACCTGGAAAGAGAAGAACACCAAAACCCCAACTTTAGCAGAAGAATCCAAATCACTAAAATAAGGGCTCAAATATGGGACACAGAAGACAAAAACATCATAGAAAACATCAACAAAATAAAAAGCTGATTCTTTGAAAGAATTAACAAGATTGATGAACCCCTAGCCAGAATGACCAAGGAAAAGAGAGAAAAAGCCCAGATAAACACATTCAGAAATACAAAAGACCAGATCACAACTGACCCTGAAGAAATACAAAAGATTATCAGAGATTACTATATACACCCGTATGGAAACAAAACCTAAATGAAGTGGAGGAACTTTGTGACATCATAACAACCTCACAAGATTGAAGCAAGAAGACATTGAGACACTAAATAGACCAGTAGCAACCCAGGAAGTTGACTCTGTCAAATGAAAGCTACCTCCAAAAAAGAGCCCTGGACTGGATGACTTTCCAGCAGAATTCTACAAAACGTACAAGGAGGAGCTGATACCAATCCTATTGAAAGTATTCCAGGCAATTGAGAAAGATGGAATTCTCCCCAAATAATTTTACGAAGCTACCATCACATTGATACTCAAACTGGGTAAAGGTCCAACAAAAAAGAGAACTACAGGCCAATACTCCTCATGAACATAAATGCAAAAATCCTCAATAAGATTCTAGCAAATTGTATCCAAAAACACAACTCAAAAATCATCCGCCATGACCAAGTAGTCTTCATCCCCTGGATGGAGGGCTGGTTCAACGTTCACAAGACCACAAATGTAATTAAATACATCTACAGATGTAAAAACAAGAACTACATGATTGTCTCATTAGATACAGAAAAAGCTTTTGACAAAATCCAGCATCCCTTCTCGATAAAAACCCGAAAACACCTAAGTATAGAAGGAACATGCCTCAAAATAGTAAGTGCCATTTATGATAAACCCACCACTAACATATTGCTAAATGGACAGAAACTGGGAACCTTTCCCCTGAAAACAGGAACAAGACAAGGCTGCCCACTCTTACCCCTCTTGTTCAACATTGTGTTGGAAGTCCTAGCTAGGGCAATTAGACAAGAGAATGAGATCAGACATATACAAATAGGAAAAGAGGAAGTCAAGTTATCTTTCTTTGCTTATGATGTGATCCTGTACCTTGAAAATTGAAGAGAATCTGTCAAAAACCTGCTTGCACTGATAAATAACTCTGACAAGGTCTCGGTACAAAATAAATGTGCAAAAGCCAGTTGCATTCCTGTACGCCAACAACAATCAGGCAGCGACCCAAATTAAAAGCACAATCCCATTCACTATAGCCACCAAAAAAAAAAAAAAAGAAATACCTCGGCATCTTCCTAACCAGAGAAGTGAAAGACATTTACAATGAGAACTACAAAACGCTGCTCAAAGAAATCCAAGACACAAACAAATGGAAAAATATTTCATACTCATGGATGGGAAGAATCAACATTGTTAAGAGGTCCATCCTACCAAAGCAATCTACAGATTCAATGCAATACCCTTAACTTACCAACATCATTCTTCTGAGACCTGGAAATGACAGTACAGAAATTCACAAGGAAACATAAACGACCAAGAATAGCTAAAACAATCCTTAGCAAAAGAAACAAAGCAGGAGGCATCACACTTCCAGACTTCAAAGTTTAATATAAGGCTACAGTAATCAAAACAGCCTGGTATTGGTATAAATACAGGCATATCGACCGATGGAACAGAATAGAGATTCCAGAAGAAAAACCTCAATTTCTCAACCAATTCATCTTTGACAAAGCCTCCACCAACAATCACTGGGGAGAGGAGAACCTATTCAGTAAATGGTGCTGGGAAAACTGGCTGATCACATGCAGAAGATTGAAACAGTACCCCTACATATCACCATACACAAAAATTAACTCGAAATGGATCAAAGACCTAAATGTAAAACCTCAAACTTTAAAAATCTTTGAAAACGCAGGAGACACCCTTATGGAAATTGTAATTGACAACCATTCCTGATCAGAACCCTAAGTGCCCGTACCATGAGATATATGATAGACAAGTGGAACCTCACCAAACTGATGAACTTCCTCAAAGCAAAAGAAACCATCAAGAGAACAGGGAGAGAGCCCTCAGAATTGAAAAAAAATATTTACCAACTGTATATCTGACAAAGGCTTAACTTCTAGGATCTACAAGGAGTGCAAATGTGCTAAAAGAAAAAAAAAACCAGCCCCATTAAAATGTGGGGGAAAGACATGAATAGACACTTCTAAGAAGATTTACGGGCAGCCAACAGACACATGAAAAAGTGCTCAGCCACATGAAAAAGTTCTCATCATCAGAGAAATGCAAAAAGTTCTCATCAGAGAGAAATGCAAAAAGTTCTCATCATCAGAGAAATGCAAAAAGTTCTCATCATCAGAGAAATGCAAAAAGTTCTCATCATCAGAGAAATGCAAAAAGTACTCAGCCACATGAAAAAGTTCTCATTATCAGAGAAATGCAGATCAAAACCACATTGAGATACCACCTAACCCTAGTAAAAATGGCTATCATTAATAAAACAGACAACAGCAGATGCTGGTGAGGATGTGGAGAAAAAGGAACGCTTTTGCACTGCTGGTGGGAATACACACTAGTGCAGCCTTTTTGGAAGATTGTGTGGCGATTTCTGAAAGAACTAGAAATTGATCTTCCATATGACCCAACAATTCCCCTATTGGGAATATCCCTGGAGGAACTCAAATCATTCTACAAAAAAGATACCTGCATATGTATGTTTGTTGCAGCTCTATTCACAGTAGCAAAAAACATGGAACCAACCATGTTGCCCATTAAAGCTGGACTGGATTAAAAAAATGTGGGTACATATACACAATGGAATATTATGCAGGTATAAAGAAGGACAAACAGATGTACTTTGTAGTAACTTGGATGGATTTAAAGTCGATCATAGTTAGT